ATGTGATAAGACATTTGCACGATTAAGTTCCTTGAAATTGCATATGCTAATTCACACTGGGGTACGTCCTAATAAATGCAAAGTATGTGGTAAGACATTTACAGACCCAAGTAATTTGAATAAACATGTGCTCATTCACACTGGTGAACGCTCCCATATTTGCCAAATTTGTAATAAGGCATTCATACAATCGAGTACCTTGAATAGACATATGCTCATTCACACTGGGGTACGTCCTAATAAATGCAAAGTATGTGGTAAGACATTTACAGACTCAAGTAATTTGAATAAACATGTGCTCATTCACACTGGTGAACGCTCCCATATTTGCCAAATTTGTAATAAGGCATTCCTACAATCGAGTACCTTGAATAGACATATGCTCATTCACACTAGAGAATGCCCCTACAAATGCAAAATCTGTGATAAGGTATTCAAACGTTCAAAAGGACTGAAAAGGCACATGGTTGCTCATACCAATGAGTAATTAGTATTTACAAAATTGGTAACAAAATTACATATGACTGCTTATAGAAATTAATGTTAATTAGATATATGAATTAAATTATATATTTTATAAAATAAATAAACATTGTTATCAATTGCTTTAGAATAAATATTTTATTAATAATGTTGTACATTCATTCCAGGTTTAATAAGATTTGCAATTGAGCCATAACTGTTAGTAGAATCTTCATAAAAAGTCTAGTTTTTAACTTACCGTAGGGTATGCTATTGTGATCGTCCAAAAAACGAAACTGATAATTTTTGCATATTATTACGATTCAGAGGTTTCTAAACATTTTGGCATACCTTAGAAAAAATTGATGTGTGCGTGTATGTGTGGATACAATTTTTCATTTTCATTTAGAAAATTCAAAAAACAATAGATTCTTAGTTAGAGAGACGTTCTGATTAGTTTTTGGTGAAGGTCGGCCAGCCGTTTCGGTGATACGAAGCAAAGAGTGTAGAAAAGAAATCGAGTTTTTCAGAGAAAGGTGCATCCAATTTGAATGATTCAAAAAACGTAATGATGAGGAAAAGTGGTGATTAGTTTTGCTCCAGCAGTCCAAATGTTGACAATTCATATTGACAAAACGATTATTTTTGGGAAAAACGAATTTTTTTTTCCAAAAAAATAATTTTTTTTGAATATCGAAAATAATTGGGATTTTAATTTTAGTTAAAATTCCCAAGCTCACTTTATTTAAATTTTGCAATTCAGTTTATATAATTCTTAGAAATGTGAGATAAGGTCCTTCATTCTAACTCCACTTGATTAATTTTTTTTTAATAACTTCCCGTAGAGTAGTTATAGTAATGGGCCGAAAATCGAAAATGATTTTTTTTTGCATTTCTCGACGTTGTGAAGGTTTCTGAGCATTTTGGCATACTTCAGAAAAATGGATGTGTGTTCCGCATTTTTCGGGCGTACTAGTCTAAGAGCCAGTGAACTATTTGACTAACCTGTTTTCTCAAAGCTAGAATTTTTTTAAATGATATTTTATCATCAGTATATTAAGAAAGTGCCGGTCTGGCAAGCATGAGTTTTTGAAAATGTAAAAAAAAAATTTTTTTTAACTTGCTTTCACAAGGCTCAAATTTTGACTATTGGGGAACACATTGATTAGAAACCAGAGTTTGTATACCCGCGCGTAATGCATCGCGCACTGCTTTCCGACCGAACGAATTCGAATGTGTTTCACAAATTTGATTTGAACAATATTCGCAGTACTAAAAGAGAAAACAATAGGCTTTCGAATAACGCTAATAAGAAAGTAATTAATAAACAAAACGCACTATCCAAAAACATTGATGAATGGTTCAAAAAACAATCGATTCTTATTGATAAGGAGATTGATAGGGAGAATACTTGTTTATCTATGGGGAGATGTGCTGATTAGTTTTTGGCAGACAGGTCCAGCCGATACGGAGATAAAGAGCAAAGAGTGCAGAAAATGGAAATCGAGTTTTTGAGAGAACGGAGCATCCGATTTGAATGATCGAAAAAGCATTCATTTAGTAATGATTGGGAGAAATGGCTATTAGTTTTTGGCAAAGGCAGGCCCAGCCGTTTCGAAGATACAGAGCTAAATATACAAAAAATGGCATTTTTCTTTTTTGATGTTGATATGTGCAGTTCCGCATTAGTTTATGTTGTGATTATTATTTGATATTGCTGTTATTGACAAATTTTGTGAATTTGATCACTTTAAATAATTTTGCTCTTTCCCGCCACTTTAAATAATAAATGTGACGTATCACGGTACATCCTCGAACAAAAAGATTCAAGCCCTCACTGCTTTGAGGCGTTTGTTTGGAATTATTCGCGTTCGTTCTTGTTTGTATTTTCTTGTTCGACATATTCGTTCGTGTTCGTTCGTTAGGTGTGGACGCACCTTAACAAAAGCGACCCACGCGCATATCAAGGTGCGTCCACACTTAACGAACGAACATGATGAATAATATGCGCAGATTAAAAATTTCTAACAAAAGTGACTCTCGCGCATATCAAAATCCATGTTCGTTCGTGCTTGTTCGCTAGGTGTGGCGCACCTTTAGCTGTGGATGCACCTTTAGGAAACATCGGCTCACTAGCGCCGAATTCTCACCTAGATGTCGATAACACGAATCACGGTTTGTGTCCTCGAATGGTTTTTTGAGAAAACTGTTGATCAAAAGTGTAATTTCAATGAAAGTCAAAAAAACTTGTCATTTTTCCAAACTTTGATAAATTTTTAAAATTAAAAAACATGTCGTAGGGCCGTAATATTTTAGTACGTTCTATAAGACCTTGATATCAACTACCCCACGGGAAGTTTAAAATATGTTCTCCGTTGCGAGGGTAAACGTGCCGCCAAGAAACGTCAAGATAGATTAAATAAATGAATGCTTTGCGAGTATTGTAGGAGAACCGAGAAATTCGACATTAATCGATATCAAAAATCGTGGGTATCTTTCATATTCTTCAGATGAAATGTTGATTTTATGTTTATAGATAGAAAGTATAATTCAAAATTTCTCAAATTTAATATACAAAAATTCATATGATAGCATGATTCTCCGAAAGTTAAATGACTTGGGACTTGCGCATTTTTTTAGATCAAAAAATTTCCAGCATTATCATGATTTTATCAACTTTATTACAAAAATGTACTCAATAATTAGAATGCATGATGACATGGACATTAAAAAACCTAAGTTGATAAGTACGCACGCCACTTTCACAGAAAAAGTGCGCTTTTTAACCACCAGTAACACCGATTAGTATTAGTATGTATGGATACAAATTTCCAGTCACGTTTTTGGGCGTACGGATCAACCGATTTGAATGGTTCAAAAAACATTTGATTCCTATTGGTAGGGAGATGAGCTGATTAGTTTTTGGCAAAGGCAGGTCCATCGGTTAAGGAGATAAAGAGCAAATAAGACAGAAAATAAAAATCGAGTTTGTGAGAGAATTAGAAATGTCCAATTATATTTCACAGAATAGTTCTCATGTCTATAGTTCACAGTGATATAAGAAGAGAAAGACAATCTGATATATGGCCAGGAGAACACTCTGCAACTCCAGTGGAAAGGGTAATAATAATTCTGAATATTTTAATACCATTTGCTATTACGACTTGATATTATATTACAACATGTTATGTTTATTAGATGTTCACAAATTGCAGCAGATCGTAGTGACTAATATGGCATGTAAAATGTATGACGCATCCATTATATGTTGAGGGAGTTAAGAAGGATAGACAAACAATGCAATAATTTAAGGTATAAATTGCAACAGAGTATAAAATGCTCAGAAATATTCTTAACATTCCAGCCGAAAGGACTGCTGCACTGTTCTATTGACACAATCGAATCATAAGAAAATCAAGATTTTGTAGAATGCAACTTTATTAATGATTGATTGGAAAGCAAAATAACTATCAAATGCAAAGTTAATGTTAAAGAAGAATGATTCATAAATGAATTTTAATTTTTGGAATTTAGTTTTCTATCAATTTTGATATCAATATATATATTTTATGTCTGTAGGATTTAACTTTTTAAATTTGTTCATTATTTGTCATTTCTTCTAATTATACTATTCCATTATCTATAGTATATACTCTATATACTACATACTTAGACTCTATACTTTTCTCTTCTCTTTTTAATATATTTATTGTTAGTCATTAAGAAATTAATATTAGTCAGTTCGTGTAAATTCATTATACTTATGAAAACTTTTACAATATTTCTGTGTAGTTGTTATATATTCTGATCATTAAGTAATTCATATTGATCGTTCCTTTTAAGTTTAACATTTTATTGTAGATGCTTCTACACAATCTCTGTCTAGTTGTTATATATTATTGATCATTCAGAAATTCATATTGATCGTTCCTTGCAAATTTATCATACCATTGTGAATACTTTTTTTAGTTACTTATAATTGTAAAATTATAGTACTTATTATTATGTATATATTGATTATTACATTTATAAACATTTTAATTGTTATGTAAAAATGTTTGTGATATATAATATTTGAAAATATATTTTGTACTTTATATGTTATTTTTTCTCATTTCCAATATAAGAAATTATTTAGATTTTCTTATTTTGAATTACGTATGCGAACCATATCTAGGAATAATACCAGCGGTTGATTTATATACTGAACAAGTGCTGCCTTCTTTAGATCGCTAAAAATATTAAAATGGAGGTAATGTCAAATGGCCTCAGATAGCGATCTATTTATGTTTATTTATCTATGGCATAAACACTCTTTCATAAATACTCTTCCTTTATCTATGGGCATAAACCCTACGGGAAGTTAATAAACATCCTATCTTTTGGAACATACTCTATGCTTCAAATGTCAAACTACTAAAAATTCCATTTTTTAGAACACATGTGAGTTAAACTCATTATTATCACATTTAAGAAGATTAAGATTAATATTATTGATTAAAATATATTATTATACATTAAAAGAAGATTATTGATAAAAATAGATTATTAAATACAGAAAATACAACACATTTTCGGCATTTATAGAAAATATCAAAAATGTCAGAAGAAACAATCATGTCCATGAATGATCAGAAAATTGAAATTGAACCACCAGAATGTTCAGTAGAAGAAAATAAATGCAAAATTGAGGAAGAGGCTGATGATATTGTTGAGTCTGAAGGTGATGAATCATGTATGGAAAGATTCATGAATTCTGAGGTAACGATTGAAGAAAAAATCAAGCAAGAGATAATTGAGACTGATGGAGATGGTGAAATACCTTCTGTATGTAATATCTGTAATAAAACATTCACTGCAAAACATCTATTAGATCAGCATGTTTGTGAAGAGACCATGGAACAACCTTCGAACATCAAAAAATCTGATAAACCAAAACATAACAAGTTTGCTCTGTCTGAAAAGCGTCCCCATAAATGTTTAACTTGCGATAAGGCATTTGCAACACCAAGCCTTATGAAAAAACATATGCATACTCACAAAGGAGATCGTCCCCATAAGTGTGAAACATGTGATAAAGCATTCAAGACAGCCAGTACTTTGAAAAAGCACATGCTTATTCATACAGGAGAGCGTCCTCATAAGTGTGAAAAATGTGATAAAGCATTCATACAAGTGGGTCACCTGAAAGCACACATGCTTATCCACACCGGAGAACTTCCTTACAAATGTGAAACATGTGACAAAGCGTTCCGGTCACCGAGTACTTTAAAAGATCATATGCGTACTCATACTCGAGAACGACCTTATGAATGCCAGATATGCAATAAAACATTTGCACATTCGAGTGCTATGAGATCACACACAAGTATTCATTCTGAGGAATTACCTTACAAATGCGAAAACTGTAAGAAAGTGTTCCGTGCATTGAGGAATTTAAAACAACATATGCTTACTCACACTGGAGAACGAGCTTATGAGTGCAAAATCTGCAAGAAGTCATTCGCACGGTCAAAAAACCTTGAAAACCACCTAAATATTCATAATGGAAAACATTATAAATGTGGAATATGCAACAAAGGCTTAAGTTCATCATACAGCTTAAAAATACACACGAGTACTCACATTGAATCCGGTTATACATGTCACATATGTAAGAAGATCTGCAGAGACTCAAGCCACTTGAATAAACACATGCTCGATCATAAGAAAGTACGGCCCTACAAATGTGAAAAATGCAATAAAAGATTCACAACAAATGGCGGCGTGAGATTACACATGGTAATTCACACGGGTGAACGCCCTTACAAATGTGATATATGCGAGAGCGCCTTTGGTGTATTAGCTACCTTAAAACTACACATGCGTACTCATACAAAGAAATATCCTTATAAATGTGAAAATTGTGATCGGGCATATTCTAGTAAAACTAATTTGAAGAATCACAAATGTATAAATAAAGATAAAGAATAGATGTGAGTCAGAAATTGTAGAAGGTAATTAATGTGTTTGTAAGTGATATATGTATTGGCTTAAATTTATTTTGTTAAACCTATGTGTCGATTAAATAAAATTAGTATCAATATATAATAGACATTGATATATGTGTTTTATTTTTCACTTTCAATATTCTATAGGCAATCAATTTCCTGACTTTCCTAATCTTGTATTTCTTTTCAAAATAGAAACTAGTTGGTATTGGTATTTAGCCTTGAGGCAAATTACATGAACTTCCCGATATGTGTAAATAATTGACTTAATCAATAATAAACAAATTAATTTATGAGTGACTAGAAGTATTCCGAGAGGATTTATTATACATAATTGAAAACGAACAAACACGTTTTAATTGAACCAGTTTTCTTAGAACATTAATGGTTTATTATGTTCATTAAGACCAAGTAATCTATCGTTATACCAAGTAAATCATCTAATTTTAATTTTAACAAACGTCAACAAAACTACTCATATTCTCAAACTTTGGATGAATTTTTAAAATTAAACTATTTGTCGTAAGACCGTAATATTTCAGTAAGTTCTATAAGACCATGATATACATCGCCAAACAAAGTTTCATAAAAATCGGCTTAATTTTTTTTTCAACAGTTAATTACAAGAAAACGGCTCGGTATATTTTCACCTAAAACTAATCAGTATTATTCCCAACTAATATCTTTCGAACAGTTTTTGATTTTTTAAAATCGATTTGGTAGAATGAGCTTAAATGTGGACAAAAAGTTTAATACTCTTTTTCAAATTACAAAGAAACGGCTCGGCATATCGTCTCACAAAACTGACAAACTATAGTGCTCATAGAGATACATCGAATGGCTTTTAAATTTCTGAAATCGGTTCAGGCGTTTTTGAGCAAACATCGATGAAAGGTCTAATTTTGACAAATGCCAAGAAAACGATACCAATTTTTGCAAATTTATATAAAATATATAAATATTGCCTATAATATTGCCTTAAGACAAATTGCTGGAACTCTACTGCACTAATTTAAAATTTTTGAAAGCTCAGAAAAAATAGATTTTTTTTTGAAAATTTCTAATTTTTGTAATCATTTTTGAAAATCTTGAAAAATTTGAATATCGAAAAATTGCCTTTTTCGAAAATACTGATAGTTTTTGAAAACTAAATTTTTAAGTTTCTGTTAAAATAGAAAATAATTTTTTTTATATATCTTAACGTTTCAGTTGTTTCTGAACATTTTGGCATACCTTAGAAAAAATGGATGTATGTGTGTGCGGATACAATTTTTCGTCGACGATTTCGAGATAAACTGGTTTGAGTAATTAAAAACTAGTTAAAAATTAAAAAATTGCTGGAACTCACTGTACTAATTTAAAATTGTCTCAGAAATCTCAGAAAAAAAAAGATTTTTTTTGAAAATTTGTTATTTTTGTAATAATTTTTGAAAAATTTGAATATCGAAAAAAATGCCTTTTTCGAAAATGCTGATATTTTTTGAAAACTAAATTTTGAACTTTCTGTTAAAATCAAAAATAAAAATTTTTATATATCTTTACGTTTCAGCTGTTACTGAACATTTTGACATTCCTTAGAAGAAAACGGATGTATGTGTGTGTATGTATGTGCGGATACAATTTTTCGTCGATTTTGAACAATTTCGTTTGATTTTGAACAACATTTTGAAAAAAACATTTGATTCGTATTGATAAGGAGACATGCTAATTACTTTTTGGCAAAGGTAGGTCGAGTAGTTTTGAAGATACGGGGCAAAAACTGCCAAAAATCTTAATTCAGTTTTTGAGAGAACGGAGCATCCAATTTGAATAATTCAAAAACACTTTATTTGTATTGACTAAACAAAGAACTGTTTAAATTTTTAGAAAGGCAAGTCCGGCGGTAATGGATTCACAATAAAAATAAGTTAACAAAACACCATTTGGCGGACAAAAATGTTCATTAGCCATATGCACATCAAATTATCAGATATTTTATAGAGATTTGAATAATGTGTACGCATTTTGTGTCAATTTTTTGGATTCCGTGCCAAGATTTTTAATTTTAAAGTTCAATTATATGGTCTGAACAGATGTCCTCGACATTTTTGACAGTGTGGAATATCATATTTGTATGATTGAAAAAACATTCGGTTTGCAAACGTTTTTGCAAAAGAAACGTCTTGCCGTTTCGGAGGTATGGAACGCAAAGTTGAAAGTTGAAAGTTTTCAAAAAAAAAATGCAAAATTTTCAAAAAAAATAAGTTTGAAAAAATTCTTATATTCGAAATTTTTCATCATTAAAAAAAACCTGAATTTTGAAAAATTTCAAAAAATATCAAAATTTAAAAATAAAATCGATTTCTTACAAAAATTTGAGAATTTTCGAATATTTTCTAAAATTTCCAAAATCTCAAAAAATTAAAAAACATATTCCAGAAATTCCAAAAAATTTAGAAATTTTTGTAAAAATTCAAAATTTTGAAAAATTTATCAAAAAATCAAATTAAAAAGAAATTAAATTTCTTGTAAACATACACATAAGTTAGAATACGCTCGTCGCCTAATTTAATAAACACTTTTAAAATTACAGTATGTATTCATAAATGAAATTTCAATTATTTAAAACAATTTTTGATTATTTTCATTCCTCGAATGTTTAATTACGGTACGGAAAGTTCCAGCAATTTGCCTTAAGGCACGATGCACGCCACACACCACTGATTTTTTGAAAATTTTGAAAAGTTTGAAGTTTCTTGAAGTTTTTTCATACCCTTTCATCTTGCCCAGTAAACACCGTGTCATTTGAGCGGTGGTAGCAACCTGAAATCTACAAGCTTGCCTTCAGCGATGTGACATGCATGTGGAATCTATGTGGATTTCGGATTGCTACCGCCGCTCGGTGCCCCCTAGTGTTTACTGGGCAGGTTGACTCAAATTACAAACTAGTGGTGTGTGTGGCATCGTGCTTTAAGGCAAATTGCTGGAGCTTCCATACCGTAACGAAATGTTCGAAAAATACTGAATGATTTCAAATAGATTATTATAAATAAATATTGTAACATTGTCTAATATTTATAAGAGTTATATAAACTGAATTGCAAAGTTGAAATTATTTGTTTAAAGTATATTAGAACTATAGTCAGAATTAAAAATAAAATCTGAATTACTTTCGATACACAAAAAAAATTTTTTTTTGAAAAAAAAAAGTTGAAACAAATTTTATTTTCCAAAATCAATTATTTTGTTAAGACAAGCAGAAAGTTCTTTGAATCATTTAATTAGGACGCTTAGTTCTCTGGACCTGCCTTTGCCAAAAACTAATCAGCTCTTTTCCCTATCAATAGGAATCGAATGTTTTTTGAACCATTCAAATCGGTTGATGCGTGCGCCCGAAAACGTGACTGGAAAATTGTATCCATACATACATACACACACATCCATCCATTTTTTCGAGGTATGCCAAAATGTTGAGAAACCTTCAAAACGTCGAGAAATGTGAAAATTTTCAATTTCGATTTTCGGCTCGTTACAATAACTTACCCTACGGGAAGTTAATTAAAGCTAATTAGATTATCTAAAATAATTACTAATAAAATATTTTTAAAAAACTAGTGCAAATTAGTGGTGCATGGCATCGCTGGACCTTTACGTACAAAAAATCATTTTTTGTAAAAATATAATATTCCTTGTAAATATTTAATATCACTACTGCTGACCAAGATTGGTATTTGTATTCGAACCTGAAACCAATGGTTACTAATCCTCATTAATAATACTTAATACATAAAAATCAAACTAATAAAAAATCATGAAATAATATTGATATTATGTAGTGTTTACTCTATATTTCATACTATTTATACATTCCGTTACATGCAAGAAAATTTTACAATATTTAAATTTAAAGCAACTATTATTATATTTCATTGATCTTTATCATGTTTCTGACTTGTGTCTCTTCAAATCCTTTGATTGAGTAAATTCCTTATTACATACATCATTTATCAGAATGCTCTCGTTTATGAATCAGCATGTGCCTTTTCAGATTACTAGATTGTGTAAATTTCTTATTGCATACATTGCATTCATGAGGACGTACTCCACTGTGTGTCAGCATGTGACATTTAAGATTACTTTTTTCTGTGAATGTCTTTTTGCATTTATGGCATTCATGGGGACGCTCACCACTGTGTATCAGCATGTGACATTTCAGACTACTTAATTGCGTGAATGTCTTGTTGCATATATTGCATTCATGAGGGCGCTCACCACTGTGAATGAGCATGTGGCATTTTAGATCACGTAAATGTGTGAATGTATTATTGCATATATTGCATTCATGAGGATGTACTTTACTATGGATCAGCATGTGAAGCTTCAGATTATTTGAGCGCGTGTATGTTTTTTTGCATATATTGCATTCATAAGGGCGCTCACCACTGTGAAAGCGCATGTGGGATTTTAGAGTACCTGAATGTCTGAATGTCTTTTTGCATATATTGCATTCATGAGGCCTTAATTCAGTGTGAATGATCATGTGACGTTTCAGATTACTCAATTCTGCAAATGTCTTATTGCATATATTGCATTCGTGGGGACGTACTCCACTGTGTATCAGCATGTGACTTTTCAGATTGCCTGAATGCGTGAATGTTTTTTTGCATATATTGCATTCATGAGGACGTACTCCACTATGCATCAGCATGTGACTTTTCAGATTGCCTGATTGCGTGAAAGTCTTTTTGCATATATTGCATTCGTGGGGACGCTCACCACTGTGAATGAGCATGTGCCTTTTCAGATCACTTAATCGATCAAAAGTCTTGTAACAGATTTCACATTTGAAAGGACTTTCTTTGCTATTATTAGACATATGTTCGATCATATGCTCTTTTAAATTATGTGTTTCTGCAAATGATTTATTGCAAATGTCACATTCATAAGTTGATGTCTCGACCAACTCCTGTTTGACTTCTTCTTCAATTGTCACCTCGGAATTCA